CTTGTATTTTCTAGTCAAAATAAATTTTAAAATAATTAAATATTGTTTTAAGTAATTTTTATGTCTTTAAATGTATTTAAATTTCATGGGCATACACTTTGCAAAATCATGATTCATCTTAATCAAACTTTTGCTAGGGTATCTCACAAATAGTTATTTTTTCTTAAAATAATCATTAATATAAAATAGTTACAAATATTCAAAATTATGACTAAAAAATCTTATCAATGCATTCATAGCATTAGTTACACTTATAATCATACATACATGCATTAATATTTTATGACTATTAGTTACTAAATTTACTAAGAAACTACCGGTCTGCATGTGGAAAAGACGTCAGTTATCTTTACCACCTGAAAGCCATAAAAAATAAAGATAAAATTACATACACACTTGATCGTTGTTTTTTATGCCAGTTTTTGTTATAATTCTTATAATGTAATAACCAGTGTAAAACAACTAAATTTTTTTAGAGAACTCAAAGGATTATCTTTATAAAGAATGATGTAGCACTTTTTTAAATTTTTTACTCATTTAGATTTGCCTAATGTTAGTATGTATAAGAATTTGATTTCAAAGAAAGAAAAGATAAAGAAGAAATTTATCAAGCAATTGATAGCTCACATTATGGTTTATTAATTGTAATAGTACCAAATAAGGACAATACATGATAGAACAAGTAAATAATTAAACATTTAATAAAATAACTGAATGTGATACTTACTTTTTAAAGTGGATGACTAAAATATAAAGGACAATTGTCTTATTAAGAAAGATTTAAATATGGCTTATTGCTTTGTATTATAAAATCTAAAGGATATACGGAAGACTGAATACAAGATTAAGGGCCCGTTTGGGGCAGCTTAAAGTGCGACGCCATTTTCAAACCGCCGCCTCACTGTTTGTTTCTCGCGTTTTAGGTGAATTTTTAAAAACCGCGTTTTCTAATTTTTACTAGACGTGGACCGCGGGTATACCCCCGCGATCCGCGTTCGCCCTCTAGCTTTTACTCCCTTACCCTCGCTAAACCCGATCGTAGCCGATCCTGCCTCCGTCGCTACCTAAATTTGCTCTGCAGGGGAGAAAATTCCTCTCCTCCCTCCTCTTTCCCATTTGGTCGTTGACCTAGGCATGCCGAAAGCAAAGCCGAAGCACGAGGAAGAGATCGCAAGGATCTCTGGTGCAGGGAGGCTCTAGCTGGAGGGGTGTCTCTCCGACGGTGGAGAGTATTATGGCGAGATCGGGGAATGGCAGCTGCGAGGAGAATGAGGATTTGAAGAAGAGGGCATGTGATTGGGTCAAAGGTGAAAGTTCAAAACAGGAGGAGGAGGAAAAGCCCGTAGAGGTCGTAGACTAAGTGGGGGATGTCGAGGAGGTGGAGGGGACGAGAGCGGACGAACGTAATAATACGACTAGACAATTTGGATTTAGCTTTGATCCAGATGTCCTCAATTGCTTTATATGCTTCAATCCCTTCGATCCCCTGACCCCGCGCATTCATCAGGTCAAAATCCCTCAACCTTTCTTTCTTTGTACTGGATTGGGAAGACCTTTGCTTTCTCTGCTCTTTTCTCTATGAATCTTCCATTATGTCACTTCCACATTAATATTAACTGCTTGCCTCATCTGATTGACACAAGCCATATGTGGTATCCTACATTTGTCCTTTGAGTAACTTAAAGGTTTTGAGCACTTTGAAAACTGTTTGTGCTTCTATGTTATGATCTTTCTCATTTTCTTTTTCAATCATTTCAGCTTTATCCTATTTGTTTGCTTTGTTTGTTGCTGACTTTTTCATTTCTTGTTTAACTACACATTAGAAAGTTCTTGTTTTATCCCTTTAAACTTACTTGTCAGTGGCTTCTTTGTTTGTCAACTTTCAAATTATGTAGTATTACCAATGTAATTGGTGTCATGTAACTTTTTTTGAAGTTTTTATAATTGCTCCCATGCACAATGTGCACCATGTTCATGTTCTATTTGATCTTGCTAAAGAGAATGTTCTAATTATTATCTTGAATTATAAGAAATTATAACATAGTTGTACATTGTCACTAGGTTGGATTTAAATGATCATGATTAATATAGATCAAATACATTAATGTATATATTATTGTTTCGTTTTTTTAGAGTTGTTGAATGATCTATGTATATTGATGCCAAAGGATGAATATGGCATGAAGTGCATGTTCTGTTTAAATACTTGAGTAAGCTTATTAGTTCATGTAAGAAGTAGGATAATTTCGTACTGTTATGAAACTTGTGTATCTACTGAGAGTAATGGACATGTAAGAAATCGAATAGCTAAACAGTTTATCCACAACAGGGGCAGAATAGTCATTTATCCAGAATCAGCTGTTTTCCAAAAGCACAAACCAAACAGTCAGTCACCTTATCTGGATCAGCTGTTCATCAGCAGATTATCAGGATAAGCTGCTTATTAACAGAAACTGGATAAGCTGCAGCTGCCCCAAACATACCCTAAGTGTAGAGACCATTTGAATATTTAACAACATTATTTAATTTGTATAATAAACTAATAATGTTAATACATCTTATGAATGATAGAATGAGACAATAAATAGAAAATTTTATCATTATCAGTCTAAATGACATTCCATCATAGACACATCTATGACATACGAAGAAAATATTTGACCATTTGAAAGATGGCCATCTATTCCAAAATTTAAAGAAATATGACTTACATAAGAAAACCTATAATATCTAGACATTCAAATTTTTTTTGCAGAGAGTTTAAAATTAACTACAACAAAATAATTGTGAAAATAATTAATCATGGTCACAAAATGTGACCAATGTGTGGAGCTACACAGTGGCATGCTAATATGAAAAAACAAAAAAACAAAATTCTTAGTACCTATTACACCACTACTCTTGCTAACAAAGGCTAATAAAAAATTCTATTGGAGAAGAAATTAAAATGTTGATAGATCACTTCTTTTAATAAGAAATTTAAGTGGCATGCATATTTTCATTTAGAATCTAAAAAAGCAATTTGAAATTGGTAAATGCTTTTGAACTTGCTATATCTTCAATACAAGAAGGGAGATGTAAGACAAACTATTTAGCCGCTATAGTGCTTATAAATACTATTCAATTTATGATAAAAAGTAGATTGTACTTCAGAAAGCTATTAAGTACTAGCAAACTTGCATACTCAACAGAGAAATGGTACCACTTGAATGCCTTCATATCTGATTGAATTTTAACTTGGCCAATAGTTGTATTAGATGGTGAATTTGCAGTCATTCAAATGTAAGAAGTGGGTCTAAATGGAAAACAAGCTCTTTTAACCTCCAATAACGATGTAATATTAATGTGACCTGAACCTTCTTGAAATGAGTAGTATACTAATTTATATAACCCAGATGATATTCAAAGAAAATTTCAAGGGGATTTGAGTGGAAGAATACACAATCTAAGAATACTTCTCTATAAAAATGACAAGCTTTGTATTCCTAGTGGAAGTGATCTAGTGAAGTGGGTAAGAAAAGTGCATACTTATAAGCTGTTTGAATAATCCAAGGTGAATAGGATGCCTTAGAATCGACATGTGTTTTCACTTTTATAAATTTAAATTTAAATGTTATTTACATTCAATTAGACATATTATTATTATTATTTCCTTACAATGATTACACACCTACGACAATAAGATACATACATACATACATACATACATATATATATATATATATATAAACCAAATTTGTTTCATTTGTGTCATATCCTTATGACTAAGTGTTTGGTTGATAATTGCAAAATTAAACTAACACTCAACATTTATGCCTTATAAGAGCAAACTCATATGACATAATATCTTGAGCATCTTGCATAATCATGGTTGTAAGTCCTTTAACTTTCCCCAAAGCTAATATTTGAAAACAGAATTTTGAAATCAAGACTAATCATTTATTTGATTTGTTGAAAAAGATAGGTAGCGTAAAAGGAATACAATAGAAAAGTAATATAGTAATTTAGAATACTTTTTTTTAAAAAAAAAACTTTAAAGCTGTTTGTTCATAAATATTAGACTTCATATTTTCTGATTTGATTAAAAAGTATTAAAATGATGTAAAACATACGATTACTACGACAATGGGCAGCGGTGATGGACGACGGGCAACTGCCGCTGGTGACTAGCGGCGAGAGCAACGGGCATCAGGCTGCAGACATTAGTAGTTGTGCTCGATCATAGTGAGTTACACTTGACAAAAATAGTGTATTTAAAATTTATTTAAATCCTATGAACATTAAAAAATATTGAAAATAATCTAGAAAATGAATTCTAAATGCACTTAATTTTGTATTGTATTTAAAACTCATCTAATCGAACACTAAAAATCTTGAAAATCGTGCTAAAAAAAGGGGCCGTGCACACCTTTTATTGTGCTTAAACTTTTGTCTATTAACATTTTTACTTGGAGACTCGTGTTGCGCGTGGACTTCATATACAACTTAATACAATCTATACAACAATATTGCGTGCAGGGACTTTGTTTTTTATATTTATTTTAGTTTTAAATATAATTGAAATCTATAACTTTAAAATACCTAAAAATTAACCCCAACTCTTATTTTTTACATAATACAAATTAGTGTTTAAAATCTGGATTATTTATTTAAAAAATATAAAAGATGAGCTATAAAGGGAACGAGCAATCCTGTCAAGTCGAGCAAAGCTTGCAAAACAGAACCGATAGCAATAGAACTTTGGGAGAAATTAGTCAGCAAGAACACAGTTTTGACGTAAACATAATAATTTATCAAATGAAATAAATCAAGTATAAAAGAGGCATAACACCACAATCGATCTACTTGAAATCTCATACTCTATACATTCATGTTTCGGCTTCTAAATAATCTCAACAGGTTTCTGTCTCATCTCCCACGTTCCCACCAATTTTATTCACAACTCAAGCAACACCCATAATTTTAAAAAACCAAATGAGCGATTTTTTTTTTTTTTTTTGACAGTGCCATCCTTCCTCTTCACAAATTGCAATAGATTTACTTAACCTTCATAAGTCTCGTCATCACAAAAGACCAATACTCTAAATGTTCTGCTTTACAGTTCTCCATCATCACCATAATGATGGTCATGGATGGTAAAAGTTTAAAACAAATTAAAGAACAATTGTTTTTTCTTCTGGATGGAGTGAAGGAAAAAGAAGAGAGTGATTCTCAAAGAATCAGTAATAAGGGATAGAAGGGGGTGGAGGAGATGCATAAGAGATTCCAATTACTGGCGGCAATGGACCTTCATACACTGGTGGTGAAGGTAGGGGAGGAGTTTCACAGGGAAGTGGAGATGGTGGTGGAGGTGGTGGTGGAGAAGGTGGGGGTGGAGATTCATATCGATATGGCGGTGGTGGAGATGGAGAAGGCGGGGGTGGAGATTCATAGCGGTAAGGCGGTGGTGGAGATTCATATCGCGGCGGTGGTGGTGGAGATGGAGAAGGCGGAGGTGGGGATTCATAGCGGTAGGGCGGTGGTGGAGATTTATAATGGTGTGGTGGCGGCGGTGACGGAGAAGGCGGCGGAGGGGATTGATAGTGGAAAGGAGGTGGTGGTGATGGAGAAGGTGGGGGAGGGGATTCAAAGTGATATGGAGGTGGAGGGGACCATGAAGGTGGAGGTGGTGAGGGTGATGGTGGTGGCAAGTGAGGTATGGGAGATGGTGGAGGTGATTGAGGAGGGGGTGGTGATGTTGCAGGGGATGGTGTTTCTATACATGGTGGAGGTGGAGGCTCTATACATGGAGGAGGTGGCGGCGGAGGCTCGATGCATGGAGGTGGTGGTGACTTTTGGGGGGGAGGTGGGGAAAGAAACTGATAAATTGGCGGTGGAGGTGGTGAATTAGGTGGCGGCGGAGAATGTGGCGGTGGATTAGGTGGCGGTGGAGAATGTGGCGGTGGTGGAGGAGAATGTGGCGGTGGTGGAGGAGAGGGGTACAGCGGAGGTGGAGGTGGAGGCGAGAAATGTGGGCTCAGAGGTGGTGGAGGAGACTTGGGTGGTGGGGGTGGAGAACGAATGCAGTAGGGTGGAGTAGGTTGCACGGGTGGTGGGGGTGCAGCAGGAGGGGGCGGTGAAGGAGATGGTGGAGGTGGAGAGGGTGGAGGAGGGGAAGGCGGCGGAGGTGAAGGAGGTGGTGGGGCTGGAGATGGAGGAGGGGGGAGAGGGGGGGGGAGGTGAAGGAGGTGGTGGGGGGGGAGGTGAAGCAGGGGGTGGAGGGGACGGTGGTTGAGGTGCAGGAGATGGTGGAGGTGGTGATAGAGCAGAAGGAGGAGGAGAAACTACAGGTGTTGGAGGCGGTGAGATGGTGGGCGAAGGTGGTGGAGGAGACGGCGGTGGCGGCGGTGGAAGTGAAGGAACAAATGGTGCACAATTGAATGAACTGCAGCGAACCGGAAGACGCCCGAAAGCAGAGCATTGCGCTGGCGTTCGCTGAGCCGGCCGGCCAGGTAAACAGTTTCTCCTATCGTCAAACGATGGGACCCTAATACAAGCAGGTGGCTCTCCGGTGAAGAAATTGTAAGAGAATGTGAAGTTCTTAAGCCGCGGGAGATTGCAAATCGACGCCGGTATCTGACCAGAAAGTAGATTGTGCGCTACATCGAGCTGTTCCAAGCTCCGCATATTGCCGATCTCATTCGGTAACGGGCCGATAAGTTGGTTGAAGCTCACATCAAGCACGGTGAGTTTCTTGAGCAGTCCGATCTCCTTAGGGAAGCAAGATCTGAGGCCATTGTTCATGAGAATAATCTCGTTGAGGGTTCTCGACATGTTACCGATGCTCGCCGGTAAGCACCCACCAAAGCGATTGTTGGCGAGAACGATGACAGAGACGGGAGAGTTCCCGATGTTATTGGGGATATTGAACCGGAATCGGTTGCTGTTAATGAAAATGGCGTCGAGATCCTTGTCAAAAAGCTCAGAGGGTACAGTGCCTTCGAACTCATTGAAACGGAGGTCAAGATATTTGAGAGACCGTAGACGCAGCACAACGTCAGGGAACTTCCCGGCGAAACGGTTGTTACTGAGATCGAGCTCGAAGAGTAGGTGAAGGCGATCAAAGCGATGTGGAATCGTACCGCAGAACCTGTTGGAGTTGACATGGAATACAGCCAGGTCGGTGAGAAGCCCCAGCTCCTCCGGCAGGTATCCGGCGATGTCGGCGTGGTTGAGATCGATACTAGCGACAACGATGAGGCTACGGTTCGAAGGCAGTGGCGCGCAGAATACGCCCTTGTAAGTGCAGACATCAGGTCCCACCCATGTCCCGGTAAGATTCAAGGGATCTGAGACGATCGCCTGCTTCCAAGCCTGAAGTGCAATGTAGGCGTTACGGAGGTGCGAGTTGGGGAAGAAGAGCGACGGGTCGACGTCGACTTTCTCACCCCGATCACCAAACTCATCACGATAGTAAAGAAGCTGCCGATGCCGAATATATCCCGCTTCCTCGTCGCTCAGCCCCCGGGTAGAAAATCCGGCTCCCGCACCAGCAACTGCGGTTACAACGGCCAATAATAGGAGATGAAAGAGAAGAAATACTGTAC